TTTTTAAAGTACTATTTTGAGTAAAGTATTTCCCATTTCTTCAACTTCAATATATGAATAAGGACTTTCTGTAGTTACTAGGTAGGAAGGACTTTCTTTTATTGCCAAAATCAATTGTGCTCCAAAATTATATACGTACAATAAAGTTAGGCATAGATAATATGATGTGACATTTTTCTATGGTTATGATTTATTATTAATATTTTTATTTATTTATTTTAATTTATATGACATTTTAAAATTTTAAAAATTACTTTTTTTTTTTTACATAATTGCACTAACTTTAAAGAAAAGAATCGTTATTGTATAGAGCAAAAGTAGACATGACATATGAGCAAGTTAGATTTTGATGCGTGAAAAGATAAAAGAGCAATGAATCAACACCGTAGGTGATCCATCTCGAAGAAGTAGAATAAATCAAAAGCTAAACATCAAATCAAATTAAAGCTCAAACACATGGAGAGAGAGAGTCATCAAAGAACGCTAATTGTTGTGTAATCGATTCAGAGATCATTGGACATTATTATGTATATTCTTAGATGTTATTTAATTAATCATTTAACGTAATTAAGAGGAAAATAAAAGCAATAGAATCATTACATTGTATGGGATAAAATTCTATTATTGATACTTTTTTAAAAAATTCTTCTATTATTGATAGAGAAAATCTAGTAGTAAAGTATTTACCAACATCATTACTTGTTTATCAGCTTTGAGCATTTGCCAAGTTCGTCGAGGGTATCTTCACCGAATATATCATTCAATCAAACCGCATGTGCTATATTTGCTTAATCTAATTAATTCATCAATTTTTTCTTAGTTTATCTCTTACTTATAACTTTTATTGCTTATATATTTCATTTTCTTGATCGATTCAATTCATGTGTATTTTGCATACAAATTAATTGTACGTTTTTTTCTTTTTTGGATAAACAATGTGACGTTCATCATGGGGATAAAGTTAATTGTAGTACTGTTCTAATTCTGTTGAACTAATACTAACAAACTTTTTCTTTGTGAAGCTAAGAAACCAATTAACTTAATGATTGACGCTAGAAACATTGATCATGCCAACATCAACATAATACCAATCCCCTCCTAAATGATCCCTTTCGTTTAATTTCTTAATATGGTCTTGGGCAATTGAGTTATAGACAAAATGTGAGAAGGTATAGAGATCAACGTGCACTACTTCAATAATACAATTTTTCCTCCAAAAGAGAGGATCTTAATGTGCCACCTTGTCACTTTGTTATAAGAAAGCATGACAATTAATTTAGAAATATAAGCAATTTTTTTTTCTTTCAATATAGATGAAGCTTCATAGATAATTAAAAAGAAAACTTGTTGAGTAAAGTGAGTAATTTATTTCACAGTTTGAATAAACTCTATTTTTCTCTTATTAAACATTTGCCCTCAAATGTATTCATATTTCTCTAATATCCTCATCATCAAGGTAATGAAATTAGTATCTCCATATAAAAAAATTGTATCATCTGCATATCACAAATAAGTAATATTAGGTCCATTTCTATTACTAGAAAAAAGAAATAAAACGATGCCTCATTAATTGATCTATAGTTTTAGACAATAATTCTGCTCCAATAGTGAAATGAAAGGGTGATAAGGAATTTCCTTATTTATGATCCCTATAAAATTTAAGAAATTCATATATGATTCCATTAATATTGATAAATTACTAGTTAAAACTGAGATACTTTATTATATGTCTTTGTTACTTCAAATTTTAAGGTTGCATTGACATTTGAATTATCTTAAGTTCATAGTTCTTTAATATCAACAACAATTTTTAGGAGGATATATATTAGTATTGTTAGTAAATGAATAAAGGAAGCGGCTAATTAGTGTTTTTAAATTGATTAATTAAACACAAACTTCTTCTTACCGAAAATATTCGTTAGTGTATGTTGAATCTATCTTTATTACTCAGAAAATGGTGGAACATTATTTTTTTTTATAATAAATGTGAATGATCCTAAGCAGACATGAGATCATTAACATGCCTGCTTAGGATCATTCACATTTGGCTTGGGCCCTAAACTCTTTTTGTAGGCTTCATGTATTTTTGTACTCACTTTATTTATTTTTATTTGTTCATTTTAAATTTTATATGACTCTTAAATCAATGATTAATATGTATATTTTACCATAATATTCATTTAATTAATATATAATTATAAATTTTGAAAAATAATTTGAGAAATAAGTAATTAATATTGAGGATAAAACCTATTTTTTATTCTCTTAAGGGATAAGGGTCTAAAAAATATCCAACTTTGGTCGAATTTGCTGTTGCGATACGAAACTTTCATGAGGACCTATTACCTCCCTAGACTATTTAATACCGTATTTTAAACATATATATTTGCTGACGTGGACATAAAAAATAATGCAAATTATAAATAGTAATGTGTCCACGTGGGCACATATATACCTTTAAAATACACTATTAAATAGTTCAGGGGGTAAAAATTACACTATTAAATAGTTCAGGGGATAAAAAATACACTATTAAATAGTTCAGAGGGTAAAAGATACACTATTAAAAAGTTTAGGGAGGTAATAGATCCTCATGAAAGTTTAGTATCACAACAACAAATTTGACCAAAATTGGGATATTTTTCAGACCCTTATCCCTCCCTTCTCTTAATATGCTAAAAATGAGAAGTACAAATAAAATTTTAAAAATATAATGTACAAATAAAAGTGTACGAAAGAAATATTACTTGCTACTATTCTCTTTATGGTAAGTAATTCCAAGGAAATTTATCGTAGCAACTGTGTATTTTTATTTTTTTAAAAATAAAAATTTATTTGTGCGGTAGCACATTTTCTTCACTTCTAAATTACCTGTTTGGCTATAAAAATATGATTTACATTTTTTAAAATAAAATTTATTTTATTTGAGAACCAATGTTTGGTCGTGAAAATTTAAAAATTTAATTTGACATTGTGTGTCAAATTTAAAAAACAACTTACAACTTATTTTTTAACTCACTTTTAAAATAATAGTACATTCAAATATGAATATTATTTCACATTATTATAAAAAAATAAAACTAAACACAACTCAATTTCATAAATTCAAAAAAGAAGAAGAATATTTTTGGGTTTAAATGGAGAAAATTGGAACATAATTAATTGTTTTTTCTACATTATTTTTGTGGTTATTGATGAGATATTATTACATTTTATAACTATGTATACATTATAATTTATACCTATGAATTAAATAAATTATAAATATAAAACTAATATTATAAAATCCGTGCTGTCGATACCTAGTTATTATTAATTAATAATATTGATAAAAAGACAATTTTGATAAGTACTTCTTGTGATAAAAATGACTGAAATTTAAAAAAGGTATTAAAAAACATTACTAAAAGACAATAATGTCAATCTGTGGGTCTTTTGTTTTGTCCAACTACAAAGATCCCGTGAATGATAAATTACATTCTCTAAGGCTATTACGGGAAAGTCAAAAATATCAGACCTAAAAAGGGAGATAAATTATTACTTTCTTTGTTCGTTGTTTATTCTTATTAAAAATAAATAGTTCTTACTCCCTCCATTTCATATTAAGTTAATTTTTAAACTATTTTTCATTTTTCAAATTAACTTAATTGTTTAGTGTTTAAGACTATTTTTAGAGTGTTCTTCTAATTTTACCCTTCATTAGTTAGTATTGGAATTAGTGATTAATTAATATTTAGTTATTTTAATCATAAATTTGACAATAATTAATAAGGGTAAAAATGGAAAACTAGGTTCAATTTATGTTTTAATCTACTTTTCTTAAAGGGTGCGAAACACCTCAAAAATTAACTTAATATGGAATGGAGGGAGTAACATTTGTTTATTTTAGCTTTGAGAGTTATTAGCCTTGAAAATATGAATTTGACCAATATAGAAAAATTAAATGATTAATTTATGTTCATTGATTAATTTAATTAATCAAAATAAATTAATTAATGTTTATTTATTAAGTATTTAACTTTAAAAGAATACTAAATAATGGTACAATGATAAACTTACATATTTCGTTAGAGACGTGAAATTTAAAATAATGACATATAAATAAGACAGAAGGAGTAAAAAAAACAACAGTACTTCAAAATAAAAATAAGTATGCTTGTGCAATTATATATCTTTATACTATATTTTAAGGGTTTTCAATATTTATTTTATTAATTTTCTTACTAAATATTGATTTTTTTTGTGTTACGTGTCACTTATTCTTAAAAAAAAATGAAATGGGAGGGGAGAGTATTTTGTTTAAATTTTTTTTATTCGATGTCTAATATTCACAAATTTGATTAAATTTAGATTTGGGCTAGAAAATCCTACATAGAAAGGTAAGACATTATATAAACAAAGACCATTCCGTATTGAGAGGACTCAAAGTACTTACCATTCCATTATAACTCTTGTTGGTAACTATTATTTATTATATTGAAAAATATGTGCAATTGATATTCATAGTGAAATTCGATAAATTTGAATTTAAATAAAATGATAAAATGCTTCGTAATAAAGACGATTCGGTAATAGGAATTATTTATTATAGATTGTTGAAAAACAGATGCAAGTTCCCAAGAAAGAAAGTCCGAGATCTCTCTCTCTGAGCTCTGTTGCTCAATTAAGTTGTTATTGGCTTCACTACTCCTCATCCCCACCCCACATCCTCAATTTCTTTCTACTGACACCACCGCCACCACCATCTTCTCTGCCGCTCTCCTTTTTCCGATGATACCACCAACTCAGTCACCTCCATTTCTCTCTTCTTTCTTTCTCTTTACCCCTGTTTCACTGTCAATTTCTACATGTGAATTATCTTCAATTATACCTTCATACTTCCTATTGTCTTTTTCATCCACATGGGTTTTTCCTACTAGAACGATCTAAGTGAAAATCTTGAATTTTTGTGTTTGATAAGGATAATAACGAGTGTTTTCTTTTTTGGGTTTTTATTTTTTTTGAAGAAAAATGGATCATAGTCGTGTTCAGCAGCAACCAATTACTTCTGGTTTAACTAGGTATCGATCTGCGCCAAGTTCTTATTTCTCGACCCTATTAACTACTACTAATCCTGTTACTGGTGGGGGTTGTGGTTATGCAAGAGATGATTTCTCTCACTTGCAAAATTCTAGTGCTTCTTCATCTACTGATATAGAGCAAGTTTTCGCTAGATTCGTAGCTAGTATTGGTAACTCCAACTCTAACTCAGGGAATTTCCATACAAATCAACAAATTCAGGAAAACCCCACGAGTAATATGAATGTTAGATCGGATTTTACTGTTCCAAAACAAGAGGTTACACCGCGATTAGTGCGGCATAGGAGTAGTGATTACTCTCTTGTTTCACAAATGAATTATCAAAATCAGAGTCAACCGTTCATTTCACCTGTGAAAAAGGAACCAGAGACTGATCATGCTTCAGCTTCACAAATGAAATACCAAAGCCAACCTCAACAAATTGAGAAGTCAAGGGAAGTCACAGATAAGTCGTTTGTCTTCGCGAGTTCGGCTAGTTTGACACCTGGTAGTAGTGGTGGTGGTGGTAATTCGAATCTTACCCGTTATAATAGTTCGCCTGCTGGATTCTTTGCTCAAATCAATATCGAAAATGGTATGCATTTATCTTTGCTTAAACAGTGTTGATAGAATTTTGTAGCTTCATAGGGTATGGTTTGTTATGAACCTTGTCTTGTGAGACTGTGTGAAGAAACCTCTATATCTATGAGTATGCTTGTGCTTTTAACTCATTTTGTGATTATTGATTCATATAGTGTGTACATGTATACGAAGAACATCATTAGTTGTTGCAGATAAGTAAAGGATCAATTTGATTAGAAACTAATAGGTTGAGTTTCCATTTAGTTTTCGTGTTTCGATATTACTGATGGGAATTGAAATCTAGATAACCATAAGGTACAAATAGGATTCTTGATAACATTGATATCTTGCTTTTATGACACTAAAGGCATCCAGACGGATAATCAATGGAGTGGTAGAGATGGAGATTTATCTATTAAATTATTTTCTTGATAAGTGAGTTCTACTGAAATACCGTATAGGTAAAAGTTAGAGGGTCTCTTATTTTAATAAATCTTTGCCAAGAAGATGAAGAAAGAGTGATTTTTGCTTATGAGCTTTAAGTAAAAATTAGTGGTCATCGTCTCTAACTGCTTAATCTGACTTTAGAGTTTAAGTTTGTTGCTAAAATTCCAGCAATTGACAGAATATGGTGCTATGCGAGGCATAGGGAGTTATGGAACTGGTACTAATGCTGCTACAGAAACTTCATTGTCGACTCCGAAAAGTTTCAAGACTCAAGTTGGATTCTCATCCGGGAAACCTCCTGCTTCTCCCAGGCTAATGGCTCCAATCTCTGAATTTAGAGATAAAGTCTTGGAAGAAAAGAGCACGGGGAATGAACAAAAAAACGATGAGAACTGCATTACAGATTTCCCCATGCCTTCTTGGGAAGATTCACACATTTTGTCTGACGATTTCCTCAAAGCTGAAGACATTGAGATTGAGCCATACTCTAATGAAGATGCATCCCATAATCAGGTATTTGTTATCTTGTTAGAGGAGTTGTCGGCGTGATTAATCATCATCTTACACCTACGTGATTTTGATGATCAGAATAGTGAAGGGCTGGCTCGCCCGCCAATTCCCTTATCTCACCATTTGAGTTTGCCCACAAGTATCATGGAGAAGCTCTTGCAAGATTCAGTACACTTGAATGTCAGAGCAAAGAGGGGTTGTGCAACTCACCCTCGTAGCATTGCAGAAAGGGTAAACACTTTAGCACTAAAAACTCGAGTTTCCTTGTTAAAATTCAGCTCATTAAAATTGTGACTTTTGGATTTGATAAATTGATGTGTCGAATAACTATATCATGGAGACAGGCAGGGTAGTGAGATAAGTACAGAGCTTCTACCGGTTTTTGACATGCACCAGTCTTAATAGGGATGCCAAATGATTCGGTTTGGCCAGTTATTTTCAAAAACTCAAGACATACGACTTACGAGACCCTATTTTTACTGTATTGTGTATAACCAAAATTGGACTTTCTCAAACCGTACTAATGTTAATTTGATCCTTCCGACTTTTGACATGCATGGATCTTAGCATGTACTGATATAGATTTAGTAATAATTTCAGGTGAGAAGAACACGAATAAGCGACAGAATGAGGAAGCTGCAAGAGCTTGTTCCCAACATGGACAAGGTAGAATCCTAACTTATTAATTTCACCGAAATCAGGTACAGTAGAAACGTTAAGTGTATTCATTTTGCTATTTCGATTTCATTGCAGCAAACAAACACAGCAGATATGCTGGATTTTGCAGTAGATTATATTAAAGAGCTGGAGAAACAAGTCAAGGTATATCCTACAGAATTTCGGATCACAATGAGCGCGAGTCCACCGGATTTATAATAACACTCCTTATTTCTTGTGTTCTTTGCAGATATTAGCAGAAATGCGCTCCAAATGTACGTGCATAAATAAGTAAAAAGCTACAGATCAAAAGGTGAAAGTAGGATGAAAGGGAAATGATAACTTGAAATCAGCTAGCAGAAGTGGATTCCCTTTGATACTTGAAGAAGACAATGGGGATGGCATTTTGGTGGGTAGAATATATAGAAGCAAACTCATTTGATTATATAATATACTTTTTTTATAAAAATGATGTTTGAATCAACTTGTGCCCACCTCAATTACGTGATTTGCTTGTATGAATAATTATGTCCACTACAACCTCAAATGTACATATTCTTTTGTCTATTTTACTTGGCTTTTCATGTCTATAGGTATAGCATGTTTGAGATGTTTGGAACTTGTGTTCTTTGTGGATTACACTTCTAATATAATACTTTCTCTGTCCCTATTTATGGACATGTTCCAATTTACTGGTCTATATTGACATATCTATTAAAAAAATAATTATTGACATAGTGAATTTACTATTTTAATTCTGTTAATTGATTGATAGAACTTCAAAATCAATTTACTCATTAAGGAGGTTTTACTTTTTTTTTTCAAAAATATTAACTCTCAAAATAAATTGAGGATATAATAAGTAAAAATAATTATCTTTTTTTTTTTTTTTGTTAAAAATGACAAGTAAAGAGGGATAAGTAAAAAGTTAAAACAAAATAAATAAAAAGGGACAGAGGAAGTAAATGATTATAGTAAACGATAAAAATAAATTAAAAATTAAGTAATAAATTATTTTTTTAATTTTATAAATTGAATTTGTAATAATAAACTCATATTTTTAATAGGATGAGCAAATTAAAAGTGGATTGAGATAGTGGTAACTTTGGATGGTGGTTTGATTCTTTTGTATGATGTATAAATATGTGTGCCACCTTTCAAAAGTTCAATCACTCTTTATTAGAGAAAAGGAATCACAATCTTGTAGGCCCCTCCTTTTCTTTGTTTTATTCTAATACACTTTTAATAGTCATAGTTTCTTTTTCAGAGTCAAATGATAATAATTTTGATTAATATTTTACGATATTTTTTTTTATCATATTGATATCCAAAAAAATGAATTTTATAATACTTTTCGTATAGTTTTTGAATATCCAATTTTTTTGTTTAAAATATTGAATTAATGTAATTTAATTTAATTTTAAAAATTAATTAAATTGACTTTTAAAAAACGAAATATGACAATTAAAAGTGGACATATGGACTAATATCTTTCTTTTCAAGTTTGTTTGAAGCTGCAACAAGATTTACCTGAAACCTTTTCTGTCTCTTTTCCAAAAAAATGTATGATAAAAGAGCTTTATCAGAGTAAAAATAGGATAGGTTAGAATTTAATGGTCGGTTGGTACGAAGGATAAGGAATAATATTTTAAAATAAAATATAAAATTATTTATTCTATGTTTGATTTGACGTATTAATTAGTTTTAAGATTATTTATTCTATTATTTGTATTATAATGATGAGATAAATTATTTAATATATACGATGAAATAACTAACTACATGAGATAATTTTGTCTATCCAATCCCTATACATGTTATTTAATAGTTGTATAGGAGAAATACTATACATGTATTAAATCTTGCATAAGTAATACTATCATATTTGGTAATTTGGTTAGCACGGTATAAAATTAAATTTGATTTACAATTTGATAACTTGCATAACTAATACATGCATAATTATCAGAAAATCTATGTCTAATTTTATGCAAAATAGAAGATAAAATAGCTACTAAAGGGTCCCTTCAAGTTTAATGTAGTCCATCAGCCACTAACTTTGATGTATAATATCAATCTATAAACACATTAGAATAGTTAGAGATTAGCCACTAACTTTGATGTATAATTCTGTGTGATTTCTTTTCAACTTCTGGTACTGAGAATTACTCTTTGTGGAGTTGCTAAAAATAAAATGGGAGTATTGACAAATCGGTGTGAAATTGAAAAAACAATATGTTGCAAATGTGTAATTATACCTACAAACACTTATATTAAGTCACTCGAAGTGCTATATCAAAGTTAGAGGTCAAAGGTGAGTCTTGCAACAAAAGTTCAAATTGAAGGTTCCATTTAGGCAAAATATTTTTAAATAATCTTGTATATAGTATGACTTGGAACATGCATATGTCCTAATAAATAGGGAATTAAAAGGCATACTACTTATAAATTTAAATGTCTTTGAGTCTAGTTTCCAGAAAAACTAACTGCTCGTCCATCCTACTTTAAAGCATAAAGTTATGTTTGTTTTATCAAAGACATAAGCAATACTTGATGTGCCTAGAAATTATCACATAAATAGGCATTGAGGACACTAATTGTTGAACTAAAAAGGGCTCAAATGAGTGGAAATCTACCACTCATCAACACTCCGAGTTAAATTTTTGCTTGTTCTCAAGTAAATCAAGAACACAATTAGTTCAACAAGGGTGTCTTCAACAGTTCTCAACATGTGAGTGTCACCACAATTCTACTAACAAGATATGCAATGACTCAATCATGCTCAAGAAGCTTCAAATAATGACTAATCAGTATCAACACAAGCTCAAGGTCATACATGCTCTACAATAATGCAAAACCATGCTTCAACAAAAGTATTTAAGTGCCCTCACATCAAAAACGATTTCATGCTCTCACAAAGCATATCAATAAATAAGTTAGTAATCAATACAACTCTCTCTCTCAAAGAGAAATACATGCAAGCTCTTCACTTGGAGACTCACACCTCAATTGTCAAAGTTCTTTTCAAAGAATTGTTGTACTCATCTACACCTCTTCTCAAGTTCTTTTCATTCATTTCACTTGGAGACTCACACCTCAATTGTCACTAATTTGTTGGACACCCCTTTTATTTAGTCACACTTTCTTTTTCATTTCAATTTTCACGCTTTTGCTCAATTATTTTTTATAAGGAGTAGTTACTTATTTTTGCAACAAATCTCAAGGTTGAGCCTCACTTTTCTTTCTTCACACTTGACATTCTTTCTCACTAATCAAACAAATCAATTCTTAGAAAAGGATTTTATGGGTGAGAAGTTGGGAATAATTTGGTTCAAGAAGTTTCAGCAAATGGTTTAGGCTCAAATGGTGCCAAGATGGTTGCACACCCTCGCAAGGTAGTCACAAAATGTATGAGTAATAGATTGATTGGTGACTTTTTTTTTTTAAGACAATGAATTATGTGTGTAGTAGAAAAAATGGATGCGTTAAAAAACAAGCCTAAACTTCTATCGTATATAGTGACATGTATATCTCTTTTTGTGACATTATAAAATGTTAAATGCTTAGTACAAGTTTGAGAGAAATTAAAAATAAGTTAATGTAGTCCACTACTATTATGTGTTAGTTATTTTTGTTATTTCTGTGCTTATACATGTAATCTAAAATTTGTATAGTTCTTCATGCCACATATACAAGGATAACTTAATTAAAAGATGAAATATATGTCATATTTGTTGAACAAAAATCACTATTAACCTATATTAATTTTTCAAATAATGTAATAATATCCTTAGTCTTTCATTTTAAGTTTTTATCTCTTTTGTTGGCTAAATGTACTGAAAATTTATAACCTTATTTAAAATATATCTTCTCTTGAAATTTGTTCCTCCTTTGACACTGAAATGAAATATGAGGCGTAAAATGATCTAAGTTGGAATTAAAGGGTGAATGAAAAGCAAAAAAAAAATCATATGCTAGTTTCTAGTTTCTCGTCTCGTTAGTCTCTTTGTCCCATTGGTATTGTACATATGTGTCTTATTTTGGGGCACTTCTTTGATCTATGGTGAGGACACTTAGATGAAATGACTTAATAAAGTCAAACTTCTTATATTATGCCTCTTGTATGCATTGAAATAGCTGCTAAGTAAGATTTTACAAGTTGAGGCTGCATCGAAAGAGGATCTTGAATAATTTATTTTTAAGTTATAAGTTGGCGACATTCATGAGAAGTCGTCTATAGATATATTATTATCAACAGTTTTTGCACATTTTTGGTGCTTGCATTAGTTTAATTTTGTGGAATCTGAATAAATAATCAGAAGAGGTTTATAAGATTCTTGTATAAACTAAATACTTATTGAATGTGTAAGACTAACTTTTTTTTTAAAGATAATGACAATATGAATCGGAGCTAATAGTTGAAATTTTGCATTTGTCTTGTTTATTACCCTTCTCATATTAAAGATAATGAATATGAATCAAAACTACTTTATATGTTCTCCTACTTCTCAAAAATTCCCCCCGTTTGATGATGATAAACAATGCTTTATCACACATCAAGACTCTTTGTCAATCATCAAAATTACAAACACCATATCTCTTATTCCCCAACAACTTCCCCCTTTTTGATGATGACAAACAATGCATCATAGTTTACTTTGTCAAACATCAAAACACTTTGTCAATCATCAAAACTACAAATATCATGTTTCGTGTTTCTTATTCCCCAATCAATTTCTCCCTTTTTGATGATGACAAACTATGCATAATATGTCTCTAACCCACATCATATAACTTCCTCCTTTTAGCATCATTGAAAATCAACAACTAAAAAACTCGATTAACATACAATGAGTGCAATATCATTTTAACTCATGGCTACTTGGGCAAGACTTTCTTGTACCCTTCTACTAACAATAAGGTAAGTTAATCTAAGGATATTAGTCATCTTACACTCACACACATCAAGATCTTCAATGAGAAACAAAATAAGCAAATATGTATTTGTTTAAGCCCTTAGAGCCCTAAATCAAAAGCATATGATATCATGAGTATGAGACCGACACAAGCACATCAAAGAGTCTGAAAAAATAGAGGATAAGGATTGGGATGAAGATTACTAAAGTGAGGATGAAAGGATTTTTACTACCATCAACAATTTTTCAAGTACGCCCATTGTGCACCAGCTCAATCATTATGATCAGTTTCCTTAGAAAATGAAATTTCATCAAGAGAAATATGAGATCCATCATCAGTTAAGCATATTCATTATATATCAAGGAGACTAGGTGAGTATTTTCAAGCATTAGGATCAACAACAACAGAGTTATGACTCCCTTTCTTTGAACTTCTTTCAGCTGCAACATAATTTTAGTTTTTTTTTGTAACTCTGGTCTAACTCCATTAAAATTTTCACTCTGCCATGGCCCTTTTGTTAGATAGCCTTTTCTTGATGACAT